TTTCTCTCTCTCTCCCTCTCTTTCTCTACATATACAGTATATTAGAAACATAAAAGAAGGAATGAAATAGAGTGAGAGAAAAGAAAAGAGAAAGACAGAGACAGGGATAAGAGAGAAGGGACCAGATATACGAAGGTAGACAGAGGGACAGAAATAGACACGGAATTAGAGAGAGAAAGAGAATGGGAGGGAGGGAGAGGAGAAGAGAGGGGAGAGAGAGAGGGATAGAGAGAGAGAGAGAGGGAGAGAGAGAGAGAGAGAGGGATAGAGAGAGAGAGAGGGATAGAGAGAGAGGGATAGAGAGAGAGAGAGAGAGAGAGAGAGAGAGAGAGAGAGACAGACAGACAGACAGAGACAGACAGAGGAAGAGAGAGAAGAGAGAGGGAGGAAAAGGTAGCAGGGTAGAGAGATAGATGGATAAAGAGATAGAGAGATCAATAGAGAGAGAGAAAGAGAAAATGATAAAGATATGATAAAAAAAACATTGACTCCATATCACTTTTTCTTTTGTTATCATTACTTCTGCGGGGTGTTTCTATTTTTAGATTCTACCCCGACGGCAGAGGACTCATTTCTGGCGTATTGTTTGGACGTTAAAGAATCAGCCTTTTTTTTTCTCCTCTCTCTCTTTTCTCGCTTTTTCTTTCTTTTTTTTCTCCGTCCCTTTCGTTCCGTTCATTTTTTTTTTTTTTACTATTTTTTTATTGGTTTCTGAAGATTGTGTTTGAAGAGGCGGTGTAGGGGTGTGAGTAAGTGTGTAGAAGGATGCATGAGGGCGTGGAAGGGTGAGTAAGGGCGATGGAGGGTGAGTAACGGTGGGGAAATGAGAGTGAGAGCGTGGAAGGGTGAGTAAGAACGTGGGAGGATGAGTAAGAACGTGGAAGGGTGAGAAAGGGCGAGGAGGGTGAGTAAGAAATGAGAGTGAGAGCGTGGAAGGGTGAGTGGAGCGTGGAAGGGTGAGTAAGGGCGATGGAGGGTGAGTAAGGGTGGGGAAATGTGAGGGAGAACGTGGAAGGATGAGTAAGGGCGATTGAGTAAGTGGATCAGTGAGTCAGTAATGTCGGTGAGTGAGTGAACCAGCGAGTGAACAGGTGGACGAGTGAATGAGTCGTTGATTGAACAAGCAAGATAATGAGTGAGTGAGTAAGGCAGGTCAGTCAGTGCGAGAGTGAACAGGTGAACGAGAGAGTGAGGTATTAAGTGAGCTAGCAAGTTAACGAGTGAACGAGTGAATGAGTAGGTTAAGGAGTGAGTGATTGAGTGAGTGAGTGGGTAAGGTTGGTAGTTAGCAAGTGAACAGATGTGCGGGTGAGTAGTTGAGTAAGCAGGCAAACTAACGAGTAAACGAGTGAGTGGACAAGTGGTGGTTAAGTTGAGAGACGAGTAAGTTAACAAGTAGGTGAGTGAGTGGGTGAGAAGTTAACGTAAAGTGAAGTAAGAGTGAGTGAGTGGGTGAGTAAGTGAACGAGTGTAACGAGTGAGTGAGTGGGTAAGTAAGTGAACGAGCGATTAAGTGGGTGAGTTAGTGAGTGGGTGAGTAAGTTAACGAGTGAGTAAGTTGACGAGTGAGTAAGTTAAAGCGAGTGAGTGTGAGTAAAGCGAGTGAGTGAGTGGATGAGTAAGTTAGCGATGGGTGAGTTTAACGAGTAAGTTAACGAGCGTGAAGTGGATGAGTAAGTTAGCGAGTGAGTGAGTGGATGAGTAAGTTAGCGAGTGGGTGAGTAAGTTAACGAGTGAGTGAGTGGGTGAGTAAGGTCGGTCAGTGAGTGCGGCAGGGTGACAAGGTCGGGGCGAGGACCACACGCTCACGCAGATCGATGTTCGCGGGGTGGGTGAGGTGTCACGTGGCCGCACGGACACCGGCCGGGGCTCTGTGGTGGGGGAGCTCTATGGTGGAGGAAGCTCTGTGGTGGGGGAGCTCTATGGTGGAGGAAGCTTCTGTGTAGGAGCTCTGTGGGGGGAGGAGGGCTCTGGTGGGGGAGCTCTGTGGTGGGGAGGTTTTGATGGAGGAGCTCTGTGGTGGGGGAGCTCTATGGTGGAGGAAGCCCTTTGGAGGAGCTCGCTGGGGGGGGGAGGTCTTTGATGGAGGAGCTCTGTGGGTGGGGAGGTCTTTGATGGGGAGCTCTGTGGTGGGGGGAGGAGGGCTTTGGTGAGGGAGCTCTGTGGTGGGGGAGGTCTTTTGATGGAGGAGCTCTGTGGTGGGGGAGGTCTTTGATGAGGAGCTTCTGTGGTGGGGGAGGTCTGTGGGGGGGAGGAGGCTTTGGTGAGGGAGCTCTGTGGTGGGGGAGGTTTTGATGGAGGAAGCTCTGTGGTGGGGGAGCTCTATGGTGGAGGAAGCTCTGTGGTGGGGGAGCTCTATGGTGAGGAAGCTCTGTGTAGGAGCTCTGTGGGGGAGGAGGCGCTGGTGGGGAGCTCTGTGGTGGGGGAGGTCTTTGATGGAGGAGCTCTGTGGTGGGGGGAGCTCTATGGTGGAGGAAGCCTTTGGAGGAGCTCGCTGGGGGGCGGGGGGTCTTTGATGAGGAGCTCTGGTGGGTGGGGAGGTCTTTGATGGAGAGCTCTGTGGGGGGGAGGAGGGCTTTGGTGAGGGAGCTCTGTGGTGGGGGAGGTCTTTTGATGGAGGAGCTCTGAGGAGGTCTTTGATGGAGGAGCTCTGTGGTGGGGGAGGTCTGTGGGGGAGGAGGGCTTTTGGTGAGGGAGCTCTGTGGTGAGGTCTTTGTGGAGGAGGTGGTGGGGGAGTCTAGGGGGCTTTGGAGGAGCTCGCTGTCTTTGATGGAGGAGCTCTGTGGTGGGGGAGGTCTTTGATGGAGGAGTTGAGAGGGAGCTCTGTGGTGGAGGCTCGGGGAGGAGCTCTTGGTGAGAGGAGGGCTTTGGTGAGAGCTCTGTGGTGGGGGCTCTATGGTGGAGGAATCTGTCGTCGGGGAGCTCTGTGGTGGAGGAGGTTTATGGTTGGGGAATTCCGTGGTGAGGGAGGTCTTCGATGGAGCTTTGTGGCGCTGTGCCATGTGGTCTCATGTGCTGGATCTGTGGTAGACTTATGTGGTTCCAACTTGTGTATGTCTGTTGATGGAGTTGATGTCTGTTGGTGGAGATGAAGTCTATTGATGGAGATGAAGTCTATTGGTGGAGATGTGATGAAGTCTATTGATGGAGATGGATGATGATGAAGTCTATTGATGGAGATGAAGTCTATTGATGGAGATGAAAGTCTATTGATGGAGATGAAGTCTGATGGAGATGAAGTCTATTGATGGGATGAAGTCTATTGATGGATGAAGTCTATTGATGGAGATGAAGTCTATTATGGAGATGAAGTCTGAGATGAAGTCTATGATGGAGATGAAAGTCTATTGATGGAGATGAAGTCTATGGAGATGAAGTCTATTGTGGATGATGGAGATGAAGTCTATTGATGGAGATGAAGTCTATTGATGGAGATGAAGTATGGAGATGAAGTCTATGGAGATGAAGTCTATTGATTGAAGTCTATTGATGGAGATGAAGTCTGATGGAGATGAATGGAGATGAAGTCTATTGATGGAGATGAAGTCTATTGATGGAGATGAAGTCTGTGGTGGAGATGAAGTCTGTTGGTGGAGTGAAGTCTATTGATGGAGATGAGTCTAATTGATGGAGATGAAGTCTATTGATGGAAGATGAAGTCTATTGAGATGGAGATGAAGTCTATTGATGGAGATGAAGTCTAGTTGGATGATGAGATGAAGTCTATTGATGGAGATGAAGTCTATTGATGGAGATGAAGTCTATTGATGGAGATGAAGTCTGAGTCTGTTTGATGGAGATGAAGTCTATTGATGGAGATGAAGTCTATTGATGGAGAATGAAGTCTATTGATGAGATGAAGTCTGAAGTCTAGATGGAGATGAAGTCTGTTGGTGGAGATGAAGGTCTATTGATGGAGATGAAGTCTATTGATGGAGACTGAAGTCTGTTGGTGGAGATGAAGTCTATTGATGGAGATGGAGATGAAGTCTATTGATGGAGATGAAGTCTATTGATGGAGATCTCGAATGGAGATGAAGTCTATTGATGGAGATGAAGTCTATTGATGGGAGATGAAGTCTATTGATGAGAGATAAGTCTATTGATGGAGATGAATGGAGATGAAGTCTATTGATGGAGATGAAGTCTATTGATGGAGATGAAGTCTGTTGGAGAATGAAGTCTATTGATGGAGATGAAGTCTATTGATGGAGATGAATGATAAGTCTATTGATGGAGATAGTCTATGATGGAGATGAAGTCTGTTGGTTGAGATGAAGAGATGGAAGATGAAGTCTATTGATGGAGATGAAAGTCTATTGATGGAGATATTTGAGATGAGTCTATGATGAAGTCTATTGATGGAGATGAAGTCTAGTTGATGGAGATGAAGTCTAATTGATGTCTATGGAGATGAAGTCTGTTGGTGGAGATGAAGTCTATTGATGGAGATGAAGTCTATTGATGGAGATGAAGTCTATTGATGGAGATGAAGTCTATTGATGGAGATGAAGTCTGTTGGTGGAGATGAAGTCTATTGATGGAGATGAAGTCTATTGATGGAGATGAAGTCTATTGGTGGAGATGAAGTCTATTGATGGAGATGAAGCTATTGATGGAGATGAAAGTCTATTGATGGAGATGAAGTCTATTGATGGAGATGAAGTCTTTTTGGTGGAGATGAAGTCTTTGATGAGATGAGGTCTGTTGGTGGAGATGAAGTCTATTGATGGAGATGAGAAAGTCTGTTGGTGGAGATGAAGAATTGAAATGGAGATGAAGTCATTGATGGAGATGAAGTCTATTGATGGAGAATGAAGTCTATTGGAGATGAAGTCTAATTTGATGGAAGATGAATGGAGATGAAGTCTATTGATGAGATGAAGTCTATTGATGGAGATGAAGTCTGTTTTGGAGAAGTTCTATTGATGGAGATGAAGCTATTGATGGAGATGAAGTCTGTTGGTGGAGATGAAGTATTGATGGAGATGAGTGAAAAG